TGTGTGTGTGTGTGTGTGTGTGTGTGTGTGTGGGTGTGTGTGTGTGTGTGTGGCTTTCATTGCTCCTGTACCCACGGCGTCTCACTGTCGGCTCATAATTACAGCATTAAACCGTCCTTTGGCTCAACAACCTCTAAAGCACAGAGCGGCATTCAGATGAAATCCAATCATCACCCAACAAACTATTCCCTTTTAATTACCCATAAAACACAGATAAACAACAGCACGGAAAACGACGACACCATCAGCATGTCGTATGACACACCGCGACCATAATGCGATTCTCCTGCAGGAATAAAGATGCTTCTGCAGCTCCACATACAGTATCAACAGTAAATACAGTAAATACAAATGACACTTTATCATCACAAGAGAACAAACACGGACAAAACGAGTCAAACCCCGCCAAGAGGCACAGAAAACTTTGGCTCTTTATTATTATTGCCATATTTAGTCTTACTTTTCATATTTACACTTACATGCTTTACATATACATGCTAGAAAGTTTCAGACATTGTTTAGAATAGTACAAGCTACTTTTAATGACACTATTTTAATAAAACAATTATTTAAAAAAATCAAAAAAACTATTACAATTACACAATTATTGCTCATTTCTAGTTTTATCCCAGGATTTCATTTCAATATTTAAAAGATTATTTTGTATTTTATGTACATTTAAATATTCATTTTATTTAAAATATTTAAACTTAGTCTTAATTTCTCAGTCAACACACTTTAAAAAGTGGTAACCTGCAACTGTTAACCTCAAAAGAGCCATTTCTATCTGATTTAACCCATGAAATTAGGTTGATTCAGAGATGTTAAACAATATTTTTGACTTGAATAAAACCAGTTAATATGGATGTTATTTAACATTAAAAAAATGCTTTTTATTTAAAATATTTTTAAAATATATTAATAAAATAACAATCAAACCAATGGCTTAAATTAATGACCAAATCCAAAATGTATAAATTAATAACCAAACTAATCTGACGTACTTTCTCATAGGCAACAGTAAACATTTATTTTATTTTTATTTATTTGTATTTTATTTTAATAGCTTGAAAATGTTCAAATTAAGTGATTGCTCATTTTGGTCAAAGATTTAATTTCATTTAACTTTTTTATTTTAGTTAAAATACCTTAACTTGCTTGAAATATTTAATTTCTATTTTCCAAACTAATATCTCATTTTAATGTGTTTAAAATGATTATACAGAATTTTACTTTTTTTCAAATATATGAATCTATTTTAAAAAGTATTTTATTTTCCAAACGAATCTGACCTGCTTTCTCAGTCAACAGTCAAAACGTAATTTATTTAATTTATTATTTTATTTTTATTGATCTGACTGTCTATCCAGTTTTACTGTAACTTTATTATTTGTATGCATATGTGTATTCATGAAAAATACCTAAATCTTGCAATATACAATACTGTACATTAACATGCACATTTTGATTCATACAATATTCTGACTTAACGTTTTGTAAAGTTGAGTCAAACATGCAAGTTTGCAGCGAAACAAAAGTTTAAAGCTTTAAGCGACGTTAAAACACTTTCTATATTTATTTTACAGTCAGCACAAAGCAGAGCGCCAGGCCTCGGGTTCCTTCAGCGCCGGTTTCACTCAGAAAGAGCACAAGCATTGGATGAGAATGAAGTTTTGCTCCTTCACAAGGAAAAGCACCAGGAGGGACGTGAAGAGAAAGAGCTAAAAACAGCAAAGCGCCAGAACAAAGAGCAGAATAAAAGTCATTTCTCTGCCTCTGCTCCCGCGGCGCGCCTGATGAGAGCCGTGCATCGCCATGGTGATTTTAATAACAGTGATTATGAAGGAAGGGGTCATTGTGAGAATATTATGGGATATGATGTATTATTACACAATGACACGAGAGGGACAAAAAGACTTTTCCACAAGAAAAGGAAGAGAAATGTCTAATATTACTGACATCCAATCAGACAATTTCCTGAAATCATAAAGTAGTTTAATATTGAAAGCATTCCACCACCTTTAAGACTCATGAGGGAAATTATAGACTAGATAGGGTTAAAGTTCATCTCACAAAATGTATTCTTACGTTCGTAAGTTTGGTGTCTGTAATACTTTACATGTCTTTGAAAAAAGTCTCTTCTGCTCACTGAGGCTGCATTAATTTGATAAAAAATACTGTAAAAATTGTGAATTTAAAACAGCAGTTTCTATGTGATTATCTGTTAAAGTGTAATTTATTTCTGTGATGCGCAGCTGTATTTCCAGCATCATTACTGCAGTCTTCAGTGTCACATGATCTTCAGAAATCATTCTAATATGCTGATTTGCTGCTCAAGAAACATTTCTGATTATCATCAATGTTGAAAACATTCATATTTTTGTGGAAACTGTGATGCATTTTATTTTTCAGGATTCACAGATGAACAGAAAGTTCAAAAGAACAGCATTTATTTGAAATAGAAATCTTTCGTAACATTATACATGTCTTTACTGATAATAATATTGTTTTTTATTAATATTTTGGATCGTTTTTTTTATTTGAAGTTTTACTATTTTATTTTTTTATTTTATTTTATATATGTCCTTATAGTTTTATTTATTATTAAGCAAGTTTGTTAAGTATTTAGTATTCTTTAAGTACTAAAGGAACTGTTGATGAAATCATTAGAACCATCGGTCACATTTAAGTGGAAACAGTTACATTCTCATCAATAATTCAGACACAGTCAGTGTAAAAGAGAAAAGACGGAGAGAGAAAGACAGAGATCGACAGACAAAAGAAAGTTCAAGTAAATTAGTAAAAACACACACACACACACACACACACACACAAACACAAACACACACTCACGCACACACACACACACACACACACACACACACACACACACACACACACACACACACACACACACACACACACACACACGCACACACACACACACACACACACTCTCTTGAGAGAAACCTGACAGTTGGACACACACTAAACCTGCTACATCCAGCACTTGACTGCTGCTCTCTAGAGAGAGAGAGAGAGTGTGTGTGTGTGTGTGTAAACAAGTGAGGCCGTTGTGGATCGATTCTAACCAGCCACAGCACAGATGAATGTTTACCCAACAGTGACACACCTCAAATAAAGCCACACAAACACACCGGTTTATATTGCGAAACGCTGAAAATGTCTTGAAAAGTGTTGCAGTACTTTTTGTCTTAATTTTTACCACTAGCTCTCATCAATTGTTTCATCAATTCAAACTCATTTTGTGAGACATTTTACCATGATATTTTCACTAAATCAAGAACGCTGATTTAATTAAGTTAATACATGCACTGCATGTTCTGCGATGGGTTATTTGGGCTGCGATGGGCTGCGATCTTATTTACATTGAAAATGAAGAAATGACCCATAATCCTTCAAAAAAAAAAAACTGAAACAGTACAAAAGTAATATCTATTTTGCTTTTAATTTAATTAAATTATTTATTTTATTTTTATTTAGTAATTATAATCATTATTATTATAACTATTATTATCATTATCTTTATTAGCCATATTGAGTTTTGACCAAATTGTGCAGCACAACAACAAAGTTAATCGCATTTTAAATCACAATTGCCATTTTTATCAGAAAAATTGCATTTACTGTTTTACAATATTAATATTTATTATTTTGTTTTTATTCAGTAATTTTTATTTTGTTTAGTATTTTATTTAGTGTTTTCATTTAAGCATTAATATTATTATTATTTTATAGCAATATTGAAATATAAATCACAAAGGTTTGGCCAAATTGTGCAACCCAACAAACAAGCATAGCAATCAAGCAATAAATAAATGTATGAATGAATGAATGAATGAATGAATGAATGAAATACAATTGAAAAAAATATGAATCATGTTTTAAATCACAATTAAATTTTTTTATCAGTAAATCCACATTTTTTTACAATAGCAATATTTTTTGTTTGTGTATATTAAGTATTTTTATTTAATTTAGTATTTTATTCAGTAATAATAATAATACATTTTGGATACACTGTGCAGCCATACAAACATGCCCCCAAAAAAATGTTAATTGCTTTTTAAATAGCAATATTTATCAGAAAAATCTCAATTTTGACACCGTGACTCTTTCAAACCTCTTACCGTTTAGACGTGGTTTTAATGATGTCCGACACCGTCTGCATGTAGTCAGTGGCCAAAACTACGATCTCCTCTTCCTCAGAGAAATTATCATTGAAGATCCGGTCTAACAAACGCTTCCAGTGGAACTACAGACAAAGAGATGACAATGTTTATGCTTCTCTCGAGTGGCTCTTTCAATGAAATACAGAAGACAGTAAAACTCTTACTTGAGCCGTCTGCCCTTTGCTTATTGATTTATGGTTCATTTATATCTCCCCAGTTGATTGATTATATTGTAAATTGCAAACATTCTTTGTATTAAAAGTTTTCTGAAATGTTACATTTAAAATAAGGCATTATCGAATTAAATATGCACTGTGCATACATTTGTAGAAAATAGATCTGAACATTGGATAAACTCAGGTTCAAAATTCTTGTTTGATTTTGTTGACATATTAGAGTTAAACGTTTTTACTGAGGGGTGAAACAGTACAAAAGTAATATCTATTTTGCTTTTAATTTAATTAAATTATTTATTTTATTTTTATTTAGTAATTATAATCATTATTATTATAACTATTATTATCATTATCTTTATTAGCCATATTGAGTTTTGACCAAATTGTGCAGCACAACAACAAAGTTAATCGCATTTTAAATCACAATTGCCATTTTTATCAGAAAAATTGCATTTACTGTTTTACAATATTAATATTTATTATTTTGTTTTTATTCAGTAATTTTTATTTTGTTTAGTATTTTATTTAGTGTTTTCATTTAAGCATTAATATTATTATTATTTTATAGCAATATTGAAATATAAATCACAAAGGTTTGGCCAAATTGTGCAACCCAACAAACAAGCATAGCAATCAAGCAATAAATAAATGTATGAATGAATGAATGAATGAATGAATGAATGAAATACAATTGAAAAAAATATGAATCATGTTTTAAATCACAATTAAATTTTTTTATCAGTAAATCCACATTTTTTTACAATAGCAATATTTTTTGTTTGTGTATATTAAGTATTTTTATTTAATTTAGTATTTTATTCAGTAATAATAATAATACATTTTGGATACACTGTGCAGCCATACAAACATGCCCCCAAAAAAATGTTAATTGCTTTTTAAATAGCAATATTTATCAGAAAAATCTCAATTTTGACACCGTGACTCTTTCAAACCTCTTACCGTTTAGACGTGGTTTTAATGATGTCCGACACCGTCTGCATGTAGTCAGTGGCCAAAACTACGATCTCCTCTTCCTCAGAGAAATTATCATTGAAGATCCGGTCTAACAAACGCTTCCAGTGGAACTACAGACAAAGAGATGACAATGTTTATGCTTCTCTCGAGTGGCTCTTTCAATGAAATACAGAAGACAGTAAAACTCTTACTTGAGCCGTCTGCCCTTTGCTTATTGATTTATGGTTCATTTATATCTCCCCAGTTGATTGATTATATTGTAAATTGCAAACATTCTTTGTATTAAAAGTTTTCTGAAATGTTACATTTAAAATAAGGCATTATCGAATTAAATATGCACTGTGCATACATTTGTAGAAAATAGATCTGAACATTGGATAAACTCAGGTTCAAAATTCTTGTTTGATTTTGTTGACATATTAGAGTTAAACGTTTTTACTGAGGGGATTTTGGATTTATCTTTTCATCAGTTTATAAATCAGGAAACACTGTCAACAGTCAGAAAACATTTTTTCGGTATGTTTTTAGGAATAAAGTGTTGTATAAATCAGTGTGAATGATATATGAACAAACCCTTCTATAAAATCCTTCAGAATATAGAGAGGAATAAAACTCTAAGTTTTGGTGTTTGTAAGTGCTGTAGAAGTGGAGAAACAAACTCACAACCTTTAAAGATTTGCATTTTAACCATGTTTTTAGGAATAAAAAGCTTTATAAATCCATGTTGCATATATTTGAACAAACCCTTCAGTAAAAACCTTCAGAATATAGAGAGGAATAAAACTCTAAGTTTTGGTGTATGTACGTGCTGCTGAAGTAGAGAAAAAACTTTTTAAAGATATGTATTATAATTGAAATCTACAGCCACAAATAGATAAAGTGTCATAAATGAAGCATAAATGTTTCCACTAGTCTTGAAAAAACATTTTATGAAAAGCCCAAAATCACAAAATTGACCAGTGCATGAATAAGCAATGTTTTTGCCAGTAGTATCTCTCCTTAAACTCTATTTAAGTTTGTCTGGCTCGGCACAATGGCTCAGTCCCAAACCGTAGTGACACTGTCTAGCTAGAACACTAACAAGGGCTTAAACTGGTTTAGTATGATCAGCCCAAGCTGTCACAGTCTTCAGCGGGTGTGCCCAGGAGGGCCACCAGATGACTGTGTTCGGTGAGCACATGGCTTGTGTTGTCTGTTGCCATGTGCTCTCTCCTGTCTATTGTCTTGCCCCTCCCATCTTGTTACCTCGTTATTGTTTAAGTTGCTCCACCTGTGTCTCCCTCGTTAGCCTCCTCGTTTGGTTCCTATTTATTCTCCTGGTGTCTGTCATCCTGTGCTGATCAGTCATTTCATTTCTCCTGCACTTGAGTCCTCGCTTCATCTCTCCTCACGCACTGTGACACAAGCTGGTAATAACTACAATAACAAAGACTGTATCAACACAAACTTGAGCTCTTACATTCGCCATCAATGCAGTTGCACATTTTACATGCTTGATGTTAATATCATTATATAAGTCGCTTTAGAATATGAGTCGCAGCACATTCAAAATGATAAGAAAAACTCATATTATGAAAAATATGGTACTCTGACCAAACATATAGACTAGAGAATAAAGTCACTGTTTAATATCAGCTAATAATAAAAACACACTAAATATAAGAGTGTGTGTGTGTGTGTGTGTACCTGTTTTTCTATTCTGGTGGGGAATTAAACCTGAATGCACACAGACTCATGAGGACTCATGTCACTGTGGGGACCTGGTGTGTGTGTGTGTGTGTGTGTGTGTGTGTGTACTCACGCTTGGAGCCATTTTCTGCAGCTGTTTCAGTGTTATTCCGTTGTACACGCTGCTGATGTCCTTTCTTTGGTCGTCGTATTCAGACACAGTGATCTTTGCGAAAAAGAGAAAGAATGTTTAATAACACAAACATGCTTGTTCACACAAAACGGTCTGAATTCATGTACACATTTACCACACACAGATTTATACAAACACACACACTGGAGTTCAGAAGTCTGAATCATTATAGTGATTCAGATCATTTGGGTGATTAATTTGAATGAACAGGTGCAAATATTCAGTTTAAAAGTTTCTGGTCTCTGTGTGGCATTTTAAATGCTCATTTTGTAATTAAATACATACTTAGTGAAACACAAGTTATTTGTGTCTGTTGGGATTTACTGTAAATGTAATGTGTTTCAGCTTGATGCTTTCATATTGTGTTTTTTGTTCCAGAAACTTTCTCAACAAATACTTAAAAAGAAAAAGAAAAAAAAGAGCCAAATCAAAGGAAAGATTCATTGGCAAATTGAACATACCTAAGACACACACACACACACACACGCACA